CTGCATTATTATTAAGCCTCGCCGCTACACTGCACACAGGAATTCAATGATTTGTGTGGCTTGTGGAAGTGCTACTGTGTATCTAAATCAATTGTGGTTTACCACAGTAAAGAGTTTGAATACTTATACACACACACTTTTCCATTTTTCTTTCATATCAGTTATGTAATCTATGTAATTGTTTTTATTTTCAGTTTTAGCTTTGAATATGTGTAGTAGATTGTGGATATTACACATTAATTGTGACTTCAAAGTGTGATGCCCTCAAGCATTTAAAGCAACATCATGTGAAAACCGTGCAAGGGTCTGACTTTGTTTTACACAATATTAATGCACTGTTCACACATAACACAATCTTATTTTACACACGTAAGATCCTTGTTGTAAAAAGATGCGTGTTGTGAATAAAATAAATGCAGAATAAAAAATCAGGTCTAGAAAGTACTGTATGTGTTCTATCTCGCAAGATAATTTATGAAAAATTCAATTTTTCCTATAGTTAGGAATGACTCAAAGCACAACCAATTGTTTTCTTTCATCCAAGCCTGGAACATCCCATAGTGCATCTCTCTCTATCGCATACAGCTACAGTATGTCTCACATTTGGTGTTTCTGAGATCCCGAGTGGCCATTGGCAAATTTCTTCTCACAGTCATTCCAAACAGGAGTAGTACCCATTGCCTGGAATATTGCTAAGATTGGGCCTCTCCATAAAAGGGCGACAGGCTGAACCAAGTTTTAAGAAGGCTTTGTCCCAATATGCACACTTGCGGACTTGCGATGTCTGCAATGGCTCAGGGTGTCCCATTTCTAAATCTGTTTCACAAGGGTGCTCGAGTGCCCCCAGCGTGCCCCCCAAGTGCCCTTCTCTGCGGCCTGTATCGGACCAGACTCCGCTGAAGGGACTTGCCCCCAATTCCTCGTGGAATGGAGACATTCATGTTCTAGCCTATCAAAACGGAGATAATTTTGCTATCAGGGATAAAGTATTCATGTTACTAAAATGTAACTTTTTACAGTTTTAAAACTCAAAATATTTTATGTAACAATCTCATTAGACTACTTCAGGTTCATACTGTATGTGTTCTAGGTACGAAGTTTTGACAAAGCTTTTATGTTGTCACCCCATTTTGACTGATGGATATTCGTTTACCTGTGATGTATTTTGAACATGGAATTTTTAATAGTTCACATATTTAATAGTGCAAAGCTTTAAAGTATTGCCTTATTTAGTTTACTTTGAATGTGAATGAACACATTGTGTTCCTTGTACTGTCATTTTTGCATTGGTCAGACGATATGAAATGTATTTAATAGAGTGATATTGATAGTGAGATAAGTTTCCTTAGTTTACTTCACCTGTTTTGAGTCAAGCCTGCTCAACATGAATGAACATGATGTATCACTACTTTTATGCAGGGATAGAGGAGATGAAATTCAATTTCATCAAATGCGAGCAGAGAATGAAAACTTTTTTTTTAAATCATCTGCCGACATGCACTTAGCCACTGGAAAAGCAGCATCAACAGCAGAGAGCATTGTGACCCTGAGCTGTTTAACCAGGAAGTGACGTCATGAGGGAATCCCATTCTTCTGTTCATAAAATGCCCTTGGATTGAACACTAGTTAGTGGAATCATAACAAGGTTATAAGAGAAATTCAGGAGGAATCTTGCACACTTCTGCTCTCCTGTGTACAGTATATAAATCTCGGCCCTGGGACTTCCCAGTGTGCTTTTCTCTCACACCAACACTCTCTGTTTCTCTCTGTTGCATGCAGTCATGACTCTCATTCGGCATTCCTGAGAATAGGAAAAAGTACACACTGTCACACGCTCCACTGCTCCCATTATTGTTCGTATGATTAAGCTCTCCAGGTGTACCCTTTTAGCGTTATTTAAAGACCAGCTCCTCCAGTCCTCGGGGCTCATCTTTAGGGTAAGATGTCGCGAGGCCCGCCTAGCACCAGGAAACCCTACGTCCGTCTCCTGAGGGCATAGGCCTCATCCCCGACACCTCCCGCTTCCTGAGCCCGGGGTCTGGAGGATCTCGCCCCGTCACCCTTGGACCTCCATGTTTCGTTTGTCCGTGTGCTCCCCCCTCCCGGGGATTTTAACTTTGTCGCGTCCCAGGATGGATTCCTTGTTGATGGACTCTCAGACCGTGCTTTGACCTGCCCTTGGACCCGTTTGGATTTGGATGCCATTTTGTCTCCCCCGTACACTGTCTCACGGACTGTCACTATTATTTTGTGCACTATTAAACCCCTGTGTGTTCCTTTTTACCACGCCTCCTGTTTTCTCCAGCTCTTACCGCATCGCATAGGGTCTTCTACAAGATCTGACATGGATTTCAGTCCATGTTCGTGACACACACCTATCTTGACAGAAACCCTGGCTATTATATGCATACTTAAACTAAACATATCTGCCAAAACAACTGCTCTACACCCACTTTTGTCACCTCATGGCATTAATATCCCTAGTACTAAGGACAGTGGAGTGGTATCTTTAATGACAAGAAGATTAGGACCTCAGTTTAACATCTCATCCAATATCTTGTCTTGTGAGAAGAATACCACACACTGGTCCACCAACAGTACTAACAGCAGCAACCTGGTTATGCTTAGAAATCTCCCATTCCACTACTGACCAAGCCCAGGTTTATTAGCCTCTAAGATCTGAAACTGCCTCCTAACTGTTTATGAGCAGACAATGTAGGGCTAGATATTTGTTTGGTGGCTTGACACTGTAAAGGAAATCTTGGTCACTGGCAAGCACCTTCTAACAAGGTTAAACATTAGGCTTGCCGGACTGGCCATTTCCTGAGCATGCAGTGTTCTTATGCTTCCATACAGTGTGTAGGCATGGCAGCATCCAGGCCGTTTCTTTTACACCTGAAGTGGTGCAGGAAGAAAAGGCTTAAAGTGTGCCTGGTATGTGGCACAAACTCCTGGGTGTCAACACATTGGCCACTGAACTTCAGGAATCAGGTAGGAGTAGCTGGAAGTTTAAGAAATATGGGCTTCATCCTCTTACCCGCCTTAAAATGAGTATACAGTATAAGACATAGAAAATGTATATTGTGTTGCCATCATGCTGAGGTATGGTGGGTGACTTCTCACCAAGTGAAGCTTGGTGGGTGAAAGCTATATTTTTCAGACTCTACAACATTTGTAGTATTAAAACTAATGATCTTCCAGATTTCTGTATCCCCAGAAATATCGTCCCCACTAGAATACCCCTCAGTCTTATGGAAGGTTCTTGCTGGCCTTTGCTTTGGTTGAAGGGCTGTACCCAGCAGGTGAGAGCTGGGTGTGTGCTAGTCCCATGTCCCCTTCACCTCTTTTTGGAGCTCACATCCCAGGGAAGTGTGAAGTCTTCTATCACGTCACACTCACTTTGACACCAGTGTAGCACTGTGAGCTGCGGGTTCCCTAAACCCACAAATAGTAAGCAAATGTTATTTTTGCTTATGAAATAAACAGTGAGTCACTGTGCCTACCAGGGAGAGCAACACCCCCTATATTGCGGAAAACAGCGATATTAAGAACAGGCAACACTCCCTGCACACAAACAAAGCACCCACTCTCGATGGCAGCCTCACAGAAGCCAGGTCCGGCAGCCACTGGCATCTGCACATTTAGAAAAGGGTCAAAAACAGAAAATGGGGAGGAGATAAAAAGGAAAAATCAAGTAAAACGCAGAAAAAACAGATACCATAATGCCAGCCTCTGTTGATGCGCCCCTGAGGCAAGGGGCTGCATAATTAATGTTCTGTCCATTCCTCAGCCATCCTGTTTACCATGCAGCCTAGGAGCAAGCAAGAGCCATACAACAAACACACAGGGATAAGTAGTAATAACTGCCCTTCAGGCATTTGTAGAGTGGTATTGGTAGAAGGCCAGGGTAGTGCAACAGCATGTCCTGATGCTTGACCTCTGCCAGCTAGCCACCGTTTTAAGGCAGTGCGTATGTAAGCACAACTGAAATATGAAAAAGAGGGAGAACAAATCTCTCTGTCACACTTACTGTACATATTCATGTTGTACACTATCTAGTGCACCCCATAGTTTAAAACGCGATGTACACTCTTAAGCAGTAACACCGTTTTTAGAAACTTCATCTGTTAATAATTAATTGATGTGACACCTTAATTTAAGAACATAAACCCTTAGACAATCGCTGTCAGGGCTTGTAGGCAACAACAAACATTTTAAGCATGCGTTTGGTGGGTCCGTTCTTGGAATCATCTTCAACAAGTTGATTTATATTTATGTGAATGGAAAATAAAAACGCCAAAGTCATGCTCGCCTAGTTTGCATTATATCCCCTGAGGAACCTAAATATGCATTTAACACTGTAATGTGCTTTCTCATCGCTAGTGAAGCATTTGTGCGTCACCTTCAGGTCCAGCGAAGCGTCACGTGGGATCACGGAGCCTCATCCACCTCGTCTCTTCGCGGATCCGCACCGTTGTGCTGCAAGGAGCGCCTTTACGATACTTGTCTACAGGCGAAAAGCGTATCTAAGAGAGCAGTCAAATTGAGTTTAAAAAAACGTAGTCTCGTAAAAGCCCGTCTTCATTTAGTGCCTCTCCATTCAGGACACGAAAAGTGGTTTTCGATATTTTCTTTTTAGCCACAATGAAGCTTTTTGTCTTTGTGATTTTCTTTTTTGGTGGGAGGTGTTTTCTTTTACTAAAAAATAGAAGACTATGCTACCAAGAACGTGCATGATAAAGACAGGTAAATAAAAGACCTTTGTTCCTGTTCAAAATGTATGTTTTGTTTTCTTTTGCGTAACTGGCTTTTATAGACTTCGAATAAGATCCGATTATATCCTCAGCTATACACTCGAAATATCTTAACGTTGATCGATTCTTATGTATTGCAAGTTTGAAACGAGTTTTTCTGGAAAAATGTTACTTGGCGAACTTTTCTGCACTTTTTTCTTTACTCCTGAAGACGATTGATTGACGACAGCGATTAAATGGATAACGTCTGTAACAACTGTAACAATAAACCATCGACATTTCCTGTGAGTTAATGGCTGGTTGTTTATTTTTCCATACCCCGGCGGCTCTTGAACGGAGTATCGTTTTTATGAGTTTAGAAGCGTCCACATGAAATGGAGAAACAGATCGGGAAGAACCCACTGCCCTGGAAGTTGGTGCTTATTCACACTCAGATCCTGTCTTAGCTGCGACAAAGCACGGAGTCCTGAAGGATTTACATGGAGAATAGAAACTGGGTTAGGGATCCGGATAAATTAACGTTTTGCTGCGTAATGACCAAATAATGTGGCACGCCAAAGAGTTGTTTCTTTCTACAGGTGAGTTATTACTAACCTTAAACACAACGACAGATCAAAAGATCAATAGACATATACTGTATAGTACGCAAACCTAAAGATCTGAATTAAGAGGACTTCCTTAGTTTAAACAAAAGAAGACGCTGCCATCTCGTTGCTCGTCTTTGATCTTTTAGAACCGGAATCTGAAGCTCTGATTCCTTTATGTAATCCATAAATGGTTGAAGATCATATCCTTTTCGATTATTTGATACTGACTCAACAGAGTGAGTGCTTTGTATAAACGATTGTGGAAAACCCGATTGATGTCTTCTGTCAAGGACGGTTTGCGTGGTGTTGCACAATTTCTGTTTCTCCCCTCACCTTTTTAATTATGTTTCTTACACTTCTTGGAAGTTTAAATAAATCATTGTTGCCGAGTAACGTGGCTGTTTAAAATGTTGTGATGTCCGTTACATTCCCGGTGCTCGTTTGTGCCACTTCTTGGTCGTTACTGTATGCGTCCCCTAAAATCACAAATTCGAACTTCAGATTCCTGAAAAATGTTAGCCCCTAGATCGTTAATCATATTGTTTTCTTGCTACCTCTATGCACTATATTATATTGTAATAAACTCACGAAATCAGTAACTGTTGTGCTAAAACAACTCTTAAAAAAGGAACGAAATTTCCAGAGGGTTTTTAAACTGTTGATGAGCAAGAGTTTCCACTCATGTCTCAGTAATCGATGAAGTGCAGTGCTCAGTTTGTATTTTGGCTACTCTTTTCAAAATTTGCCATTTTCTGCTTAGCAATCATGGGGCTCCAGAAGGATGCTGAGCTCCTATTTAAATTAAATAACCTACTGGATGTTGCAGTGCAATTACATTCAAGCATTCAATAAGCATTTTCACTAAGTACTTTCCACATCAGACAACAAAAACGTTTTTGTGGTGATTCAGAGTTCAACAGTGATTATGTTGTGTGTCAAATACTGGGAAAGCTGGAATCTAAGCAACAACAACAACAACAACAACCTCCTTTGTCAGTTGCTATAAGGAGTCATTTAATCAATTTAGGTTTGACCTAAAAGAATGCAATTATTTCAATTTCCATGTTAAAACATTTTCTGATTTGGTGATCTTAGCATTTCATTTTTGGGGCAGTTTCCTCAGCATCCCATCAATTTGTTTAACTTCAGTGTGCAGTAAAATTCATGCAAAAGATGGCAAGAAAGATGTTTATGAAATAACCCTTTTGCGGCTCTACTTGGTGATAAAAGATTTGAAAAGAATGTCTGCCTGTCTTAACTGAGTCAGTGTTAAAACAACTAAGCCATTCTTAAGATCACAAAGGATTTATCATTTCTAGTTCAATGGGAAAAAAAACGTTGCAGTAACCTTTCTACCCTGTTGTCAGCAGATGTGTTTTAGTCTCTTCTTCAAGGAAGAAATGAATGTAATCTAACCAGAGAGGCATCTGCTGTATGGTCTTTTTTGTTAGGCACCTACGTTGCATTATCATGGAGGCACCTCCAGTTAATCCTGTCCTTGAACTGTGTCTTCTGTGTTTCTGTGGAAACTAATTGTAGTACATATTATAATATTTTTTGTCTGTTTAGAACAAAGAGGCTGATTTCTGATTTTAAGATACCTCAGGCATGCTGTAAGTGTAAAGATTCACAAAATGTCCATCAGAGGCAGTTGAAGAGAATCATTCTCCCCATTTAAAAAGGGTTCGGCAGTTTGATCTTTTCTGCATTCTAATGGGTAAATCATAATAAAACCACTAATGCTACAGTATGTCGTTTTGTACGTGTTTAATGAAACACAGCCCCAACTCAACTTGTGTTCTTTCATTGAATACAGATGATATGTAAAGATATGTAGAAAAACATCTTAATTTTGTGAGCTTCCTCCCTTAGATATTTAGAATGTAATTATCATTATTTGTATATTCAGTGAAAGGCATGATTCTTAACTTGCTTCTTCATTTTATCTTTAATCAGGCTGTATAGATGCGTAATATACATTTCTCATGTAACCTACATTAGGCATATTTGTCGTAATTTTAAACAATTGAGAAAACAGTAGTAGTATTGACCTGTCTATCCTGTTTAGTCCTTGTAGAATATTTCTCTAACTTGTAATTTAAGCCGCCTTGCTTACTTACACAGTGAAATCAAGTTATTTAGTTTTATAAGAGGAAATGCCATAAAGATCTTTTAAAATGTTTAAATGTTCACATTGTTTTCTCCTATTGCCTTTTTGTTGAAATACTAGAATCTTTAATATTATGTCCTTTTGAGCAAATTAAGGAAGAAACAGAAAGTTCCTTATAAACTTTGTGTAATATCAAGAGCTACTGTACAGTATGTAGCAAACAGTGGCTTTGTTTATATATGTTAAAATACTGTAATTAAACACACAGGTTCACTCTTGTGTCTCAGTTGGATTAATACTTCCTTCAAGTCTGGTCTCTAGGATGTTTCTACGTCTCGCAGCAACATGAAGCTGTCGTGGTGTGAAACAGAAAGGAACTGGGATTCCAGATAGTGTGAAGATACATAGACTGTCAGAAGTAAGTGCACTGTCAGAAAAGATTAAAATAGATTTTAGTAGTCTAAAAGTCATCCTCATGATAAATAACATGTCCCCGGACATGGCTGTAATATCCATCTATCCATCCACTTAGTGTTTGATTTATCTGGTAAGGATCATGGCCATAGCAGTAATATAAGACACGTATTAATAAATACCAGTATTCTAGTGTACTAGTAAACAATATTGGATTAATGTGAAACTAATCAATCATACAGACTTCCCCTCAGTTTTATTTTAACATGTATCAAATGTTGTTTACTGTTCAAGGCACGGTTTTTAGAGATGGAAAGTAGAATATCCAATAAATGTAGCACAGCTAAATGTATTTTTTAAATGACCGTTATAAAAGGAGAAAGTGGAAAAAATGACAAAGATAATGCAAAGAGTAAGTTTGATATTGTGTGCTTCAAGGTCTCAAGTATATTTCATTAAAAGCAGTGCATGTGGCTTTAGGTATGCTGCACGGACATGCTCCAGATTTTTTGCTTCTTGGTAAAGCTGGTATTTCATTAGGATTCAGAGATACTGTATTGTTTCTGTCCAGCATGGGTATTTAAAATAAAGAAGTATAGATTTAATTACCTTTACCGGTATTTTTTCCTTGCATTTCAAATGACGAAAACATTTACATTTGTAGTTCTGAAGAAATCATTTAAGAAACACTTTACATAATGTAACAGATTCAGAATATAAGTGTCTATGATGTATTTCCTATTGTGGATCCATCGAGTGTAGCCTACATTGTCCAAGAAGGAAGGAAATGTGGGCTTAAGTGATGCTGCTTGTAAGAGGATTTTTTATGTTATTCAAGCTCCCACTGTTAAATGAATTCTGACACCTTTAGAAATTAGATTGTTTGTTTCTGCAAAATGTTCAAAGACTTGTAAGTATATTGAGTGAGCATACACTATAATATCTTTTCTCTTAATGGGCTAAAAGTTTAGTGTATTCAGTGGATTTAGTGATTCCTTCTTTTAGCCTATAATACACTTAACCATCAACGTAAACATAAACATCGAAAGCACACACACAACTTTTCTGTAAACAAGTGAGAATTCCTCATGTCTGCTCTAGAAATATGTACTGTGGTTCCTTGAGATGATCCACTGCCTAACAGTTGTGATTGTTTTCAATAGCTCTTTATATTTTTTAATATTTCTTATGGAATATTAAGAGAGGAAACTTAAAAGGGAAGACATATTTAAACACACTTGAATATTTCTCAGAATATTATTTGACATAAGCCTTTTTTGTGATTTGACCTTTATGTAATCAATGTCAGTTGTTGGGCCTGTAATGCAGTGTGGGATGTAGGATTTGTGGTATAGTAAAATGGCAAATGGCTCTTAAAAGTATATGTTCAAGGCAGGCGTCATTTTCTTTTGCTGATAAGATGGTTATTGTATTGATATGATGGGGTTATTGTATTGAACCAAGATGCTACGGAGGATGGAAGGTTGTGTTTAATTTACAATTTAAGTTATTACAGTGATTTTACATTTGATTTTGATCAAATGTGCTAGGAGGAAAATGTATAGCCCACAAGACTAAATCAAACCAGCTGATGTGTTAATGATATTTTGCTGTCATCTTGTTATATACAAAAAAAATAAATCCAAAGTTTTAACTAAATAAAAGAGAGACGTGGAAATAAAACCATTCATTTAAGTTGGCATGAGCAAAATTTCAGTTGTGGACATTTCTTAAAAAAACATGTTTTGCCACAGATAAAACATCCTTTCCTTAAGGTGAAAATTGCAACACTTGCAAAGTTTCCCAGAACAAGTAATTGAACAAAACATCTTTTTTCTCTTTGCTTTCTAATGGGGATTTATAAATCCTGTATCTTCATCATTTTTTTGTCTAATAGTTTATATATTTCTACGTATATATATAAATAATAGTAGCTATAACATATTTAATAACATTTCAACTACTTTATATCTTAATTGTAACCTGCAGCCATATCATTCTGCAACTCACAACTGGCAACCCACTGAAGCTAAGCAGGTATGAGCCTGGTCAGTACCTGGAGGTGAGACCTCCTGGGAAAGACTAAGGTTGCTGCTGGAAGCCAGCAGGGGGCGTTCACCCTGTGGTCTATGTGGGTCCTAATGCCCTAGTATAGTGATGGGGACACTGTACTGTAAACAGGCGCCGTCCTTTCGGATGAGATGTAAATTGGCTACATTACTCTGCCCTCCTCCCCACTAATAGCTGATGTGTTCTGAGCATTCTGGTGCACTATGGCTGCTGTCACATCATCCAGGTGGGGCTGCACATGGATGGTGGTGGAGGGGAGTCCCCATTACCTGTAAAGCGCTTTGAGTGTCCAGAAAAGCGCTATATAAGTGTAAGCAATTATTATTATTATTAATGTAATTGATTAAAGATTAATGTTGACTTCAGGCAAATGAAGCTCAGTCATACTGTACACTGAGTCTAAATTCTTAATGTCTGAAATGTGTAGAAAATTATTGTGGCACATTATTGTCCTTTTATAAAAGTGTTGGATTGTTTTTGCTTGTAAGAAAGTTTACACAAACCTCCAGTCTAAGTCTAAGAGGGTAGCTCTTAGACTTCTGGAAAGCCCATTATTCAGGTGTTACTGATTGATGGTTGCAAACTACCGTATGCTCAAACTGATTAAGGACTGGGGGTAATGGCTTTCTCCATGTTTAGGGAAGAAAGAAAAAATCTGCTCTTATTAAAAAGAATCGCGTCTTGAACACAATAACATTCAAGTCTCATTGTTCAGAGAGGACAAGGAATGATAACTAGTTCAAAGGTAGATCTCCATCACCACCTACAGGATGGAGACACACTTGTACAGTACTACAGTATGCTGGTTACAAAGCATAATATAATGGAGTCATTTTTGGCCAGAATCTTGGCCATTTTAAAGGCAGTGCACGTCCACAGATTCCCTATATACTACTCTGCAGAAGTTCATATAAGATATTTTTTTTCTGTTCATCTGCAAGCATCTTCGAATTTATTGCTGTCAGTGTGGTGACAGTAATCGTTTTGTTAAATTTACAACCATTTTGCTCAAAGCAATCGAGATATAATTTGATGTAGTCGTATTATTCCTTGGTTACTTTCACTGTGAAAGAGCTGTTTTTCGCACAGAATGGAGGTATGTTTTAGGAAAATTAAAGGTGGCACATCAGTCCACAGTAGGTTTTCCGGACATATAATTTCAGTATTCTATGGATTGGAGGAAGTTGGAATTCACCTGATTTGCATTAGAATGTGTTAGCCTAACAGCTGTTAAAAGCTAATTCTTTTTATAGATTGAGTGACCCCCTGAAGTTTGTTCAGCTAGATTAAAAAAGAGGACCATTCCCACAATAAAAACAGCCTGTCAAGGAGCCAGATGCACATTACTCTGTCCATTGTGTTTTATTGCAGGGCAGAGGACAGCAGCATGATAGCGACTGGGGGTGTAATAACAGGGCTGGCAGCCTTAAAGAGGCAGGACTCGGCCAGATCCCAGCACCACCTGCCCTTGCCAACTCCACCCCCGCCACAGGAGAAGAAAAGGGTCAAACGGAAACCCCGAGCCGATGTGGTAGTTGTCAGGGGCAAGATCCGGCTGTACTCTCCCTCTGGATTTTTTCTTATCCTTGGGATATTCATCTCAATGGTGGGAATAGCAATGGCAGTGCTAGGTTACTGGCCGCACAAGGATCAGGTTTTGACACCAGACTCAAAACTGTCCACCAACGATACCCAAGTAATACGAGACCATGGGGGAATAGTTGCCCAGTTCTTTGAACAACACTTGCATTCTGAAAAAATGAAAATGCTGGGACCCTTCACCATGGGGATCGGTATCTTTATATTCATTTGTGCTAACGCCATACTTCATGAAAACAGAGACAAGGAAACCAAAGTGATTCACATGAGAGACATCTACTCTACTGTAATTGACATACACAGCCTAAGGATCAAAGAGCAAAAGTACATGAATGGAGCTTACACTGGCCCAGCAGGAGAACCTGAGGCTAAAATGTATGACAACCAATGCGCTTCAAAGCTGGCTGCTAATACTCTGTTGACTTTCTCAGGAATTGGGAGCGATGTCCGGGTGTCGAGGAGAGCAAGCTCCATCGAAGAGGACGATCGCTGTTTGAATGAAGCTAAGGGGCGCTCAAGCCTCCTGCTTCCGATGCGCAGAGACAGATCCAGTTCAATTTTTGGCGTGCACACAGAAAGCAGCCGGTTGAAAGATGACAAAAATACTGTCTCTAAAAAATGTGAAACAAAGTCTATCGTGTCATCTTCCATTAGTGCATTCACACTTCCCGTGATTAAGCTAAATAACTGTGTGATCGATGAACCTGATATAGATAACATCACCGAGGACTCCGAATTCAGCAGAGGTAGATCAAGACAGCCTTCCATGGAATCCTTAACGGTTCCTTCTACAGATATTACTGAAACTTACAAGCCTCCTAATGCTGTGCTCCCTAGAAGCAATTCAGACACTGAGTCACCATCTGTCTCATCAAAATCCTCTCTCTCTCCTGGATCAGCTAACGAACGATTTTTATCTCCTGGTGCGGCCCGAAAGGATTTTGGCTCCAACAATTCACTCCACATGCTCTCTGCACATTCCAAGTCTTTGGATTTAGAAAGAGGGCCATCCACATTAACTGTCCAGTCTGAGCAAAGGAAACACCCCAGCTGGCCAAGGCTAGATCGCAACAACAGCAAGGGATACATGAAATTAGAAAACAAAGAGGATCCCATGGACAGATTGGTAGTTCCCCAGGTTGCAGGCAAAAGAGATTATACAAAAAAAGAAAAACTCCTGATGATCTCACGATCTCACAATAACCTCAGTTTTGAACATGATGAATTTATGAGTAACACTTTAAAAAGAGGTACATCTGAAACAAGGTTCTGAATGGATGTCTATCCCAGAAAAAGGACAACACCTTATAAAAGTGTTTATATACTGTACTAAGAAAAAAATGTGCATATCTGTCATTGCCCGTATTTAATATTATTTGTTTTTTTAACTTGACTGATGTCCTGAATAACATTAGTTTTATCCAGGGTATTGTTTATTTCATTACACTATTTTCACTCAAATCTCTTTAATACAAAACATAATTTCCTTCAGTTGTATGCTGTTTTTTTATTGGTGATCATATGTATATTTACAGGCAGCACAGTAGCACAATGGATAGCCCTAGGTTCAGTTACAGTCCTGGGGTGCTATCTGCATGGAGATCTCCATGTTTGTGTTGGTTTCTCCGGGTGCTCTGGTTTCCTCCCACAGTCTAAAAACACACTGGTAGGTTACATGGCTTCTGGGAGAATTGGCCCTGGTGTGAGTGTTTCCGTGTGTCTGTGTCTGTGTATGCCCTGTGATGGACTGGACCCTGCCTTGTGCCCGTTGCTTGCCAGGACAAGATCCAGCTCCCCCAGGAACCTGAACTGGAAGGAGCAGTAAGAAAATGGACAGACGGATGGATTACTGTGATATGTGAAGACATTTTTAAAAAGGCAAATGTTTGCTATAATTTAAAGAGATGCAACATAAAACCTACCTCATTAGCTGTATATTGCCTTGTCCCACTACCCATCTGTAACTGTTCAGCTCTTATCCAGTCTGGCCAAATCTTTAAACCTCACCTCACCTGAGGGAATCCTAGCTCTACCGTTGAAACTCTTTCGTTGTACCAGTCACACAATGGAATCCCTCAAGACAAGGCTAGATGGATCTAGGCAAACTCAACGCATGGTAAGAGATCATTTCAAAGGCTATAGCATGTAAAGTACCATGGATGAATGTGTACAAAAATTCCAAAGAGTATATGAAAGATTCCTTTTTGGATGGTTTACGTTTTAAATTCAGGTTCCTACAATCATGGAATTATATAGTGTACAGTATGTTACTATATAGAAGTCATTTATTTCTTTCATCATTTTGTTTTTGATCCCTTTTAAAAAATTGATTAGTACTTAACTTGCTGTTGCTGTGTAAGTCTTAATAAATAATGGGTACTGACATTTATGACAACTCATTCACTTTATACAGTATGTGTGGAACTTTGAATAAATATGCCTGTCAATTTGCCTGTCAAGCATATTACTGTATAACCAAGTCAAACCCCCATAAACAAGGTGAGGTTTTCAGGATGTCGTTCAAGTGAATACCATCATAACAGAGGATTCCATGTTTTTATGTCACCTTTCCTCGTCTTTTTTATTGAGCTTTTTAGCAGTTCCATGTGAAAGCAGTGCTCAGGTATTGATATTTTTACTTGTAGAGCCTATGTTAAGATTAACTTTGTAAGCTACAGGCAATTTGTTGTTTATAAAATAAAATATTTTGTTTTAATGTGGTAAGCTCAAGTAAACATGATCACATTATTTACAAAATAAAATGGGTTTTGTGTTCTGTTTTATTTGTTTTGTTTGGTCAAATGTATTGTTACACACTGAAGTGAGACGTAATTCCTGTTTAAAATCAGTCTGTATATTGTATCAGAGTTGGCTACATATTTTGTTATGGAGCTTTTAATATTTATATTAATTGTTCTTAATGCATATTGATATTTTTGAAAAACAGGAAAGCAGAATGTCTTATTTAGCTGTTCCACCAATAAAATTTCATAAACGTGTGCTTTTAGTAACCTTTTGTTATTAAATGCAGAGATACTTGTGATTTTTCTTCTTGTATAACAAAAACAACAGTTCAAGATCAAGTAATAATTGCAAATACTTTGCCATTTAGTCAAACATCATTCGTTTTTGTATTTTTATGTTCTAGTTCACTGTAATTTTTTGTAATCCAATTAGTATTCAGCATGAGATTAAATTCGGGGCTAGTTTTTGCCTCAGTATTTGGCAATGAAAATGTACTGTACTTCTTCGGACACCTCAGTGATTATATTATCATAATGGTTATTCTGTAGATTCATACCATGTTCTATGGCTTTTTAGGAGTCAGACAAAAACTAGAAATGTATTTCCATAGAAACCTTTCTCTATTCAATCAGGCTAATTTCCTGGTTCTTACTAATTTTACCAAAGAAAGTTAATGAAACAGTAAATTAAACCATCCATAGGAACCTAAAAGAATGAGTCTCCAGGGTGTTTGTTTTAAGTGATGTTGATTGAAGACCAACACTGGGCACTTATTATAAATGTAATTCATCAAAGGGCTGCAGCTGTAAAACTCACTGTGCGCTGAGCAAGTATTGAATGAAACAAGCACTTAAAATAAGATTTACAAAATTGCAAATAATGTTAAAATGGATCTTTTGCATGATATTCTTTCCTCATTGTTCTTTGCTACTGAAGGATCTATAGAAATCAGTAGAAGGTTGCCCCTCCCCCCGCCAAGATCTCCACCTACCGTGTAAGTCTGTCTGAGAACATTCTTCATTTCTAAGGGAAGACAAGAAGCCTCTTTCCACCTTTCTTGGTAAAGACTTCCACTCAGCTGACCCGCAGCTTTCAAGTATTGTCCTAAACAGCAAGTGTCCCTGCTTCCTTTTACTCTTCCAATCGTCTCGTACTCTTCTTGCTTTATAGCTAGGGTACAGAGTCAACATAAAAAGAAAAACAGCAATGATGCAGCTAAATGAAATGGTTTTGTCGATACTGCAGTAAGTCAATTACAGGTCCATGGGGAATAACAAAACCCAGGAATCATATGCACTTTTAAAACTTTTATTGAATACTTAGTATACTGAGATTTGGCTTAACCTGCTTGACTGAGGGCCTGTCCCTGAGCCATGTAATTAGGAGGCAAGAACTTGTGTGCAGAGGGAGGATTTAACTGAGGTGTAGCTGAAATGGTGGGCGGACCAGTCCCCTAGCCATAGGTGGCCTTAAGAGAAGATAAGGGCAACCGAAAGTATCAAATGGCACCACCAATAAAACCAATAAAAAGATAAGAGGTACAGTACTTGAAGGCCCTAGGAGTGTAACGTAAGGAGATCAATGACCTGAATTGTTGGGAGTCTTTCAAACAGGCAGAAAGCTGGTTTCAGAATGTTAAAATTGATTCTGATATATCCCTCCAATAACCAATGACCAAACTGCTGAATTAGAGGGTGGGGGATAACCTGATGGTTTGCTGAGGGAGCTGCACCTGAAATGAGTGGCTGGAGTCCTGTTCTGTGGGCAGTCCCAAGTTTTGTAAGAAAGTTTGAATGTGAAGGCAGAGACAGCTACGAGACATAACAGGGCCCCTCTCACATAAAGAGTGGATCGGTGGGGGACACTCTTTGAGACATGCGGATCTAATAATGAGGTTGGCAAGGACTGATGTAGACTGTATTGTTGTGTTTTGAAAACGTTGTGTGCTTGAGATGAATGAACAGATTTGCTCGGCTTCTCTTGAGGCAAAATGTTAGTGTATCGATAGGATAGTAACTTCAGGTAAGCGTGTGAAAAACTGAATCTAAAGATGCAGAAAAGGTTAACATTTGGAGCATTTTAGATATCGAAAGAAGGCAAACGGGAAGAGGATTCTACCATTGTCGTTTATCGACCAATGGGGAATGGTCACCTCAACTTGGAGTTTTTCACATACACAAGTAATAGGTTTTTCAAATATGTCTTTCTAAGTCTCCTTTCTCAGCTCCAATCATCAAAGATGTCTCCCTCTTTGCAGCTCTTCCTGTCCGTGTACCTCCTAACGCCTTGATGTTCACTACGCCAGCTTTCCCCCAGCACTTAGACAGCAAATCCTAAAAAAAATGAGGATGATAATCTTTCTCATCTCATTCATTTTACCAGCTCCTTCCAAGATAGAAGTGTTGACTGTGATTGACTGTCTCTCCCTCATGCTGAGTTCTAATGAACTTTTATTTTCTTCCATTATGTCTAGCCTTCAGCAGTTGTAGAGGTACTCTACCATGAGATAAAGTAAAAAAAATGATTTATTATATATAGATTTTGGAAGATCGTGTCAGGAATGATTACGATTTAAAATAGCTTCCCAAATTTGAGTTAAGAAATCCATGATTTATACAGTACAGTGAACGTAAAGTGTGTACGGTAAAAACAGAGTCATACAGTCTAGTGAACAAATTGTGACAGTATTAAGTAACTGAAAGGCACTGTTTTCTGGCACATGGGGTTTTGAACTATAGGAAAGTATGGGTATCACTGATGAATACCATTAAAAGACATTTCGTGAATATTTCATTTTGATGGTTGTACCTGCTACCAATGTCCTGCTGTGTGACAGCATGTATCCTCTCTGCTTTGTCAGGCTGTGTGGTCTTTCTTCCTGTTCATCTAACGTGTGTGCCTAACTAGTCTGTCTACTCACGTCCTCACCATGTAAACGGTGAGAGAAACTCCACGATTGTGGTTTAAGGCTACAGGAGATGCTACACTGCTGCTGTTGAGTGCAGATCAACACAAGGCATTTATTTTATTCCCGGAGTTAGCTTCTTTGCACTAGAAACTCACTACCCCTTCTCTATATAAATACATTTAACAAAGATATATATAGATTTTATGTTACTCATGCTTCAGTACAAGTTCTATGGCATTTTTCAAAAATATTTTTTTTATTTTAAATTTAAAACATGAATTGATCCATCTAACCTTTGATTTGTAGGATCTTGAAATACGCAACACATACAGTATCTTGCCTTTATTGAATACTTCAGGTCGCGTCAGGATGCGAGGTAGAATTCATAGCCATCTATAATTTAATTATTGTACTTTTAAGCTAATTTAATCAAGTGATTAGATACATATATTGGCACTTTTACCATTAGAAAACTATTCAGTAATCAGTGGTTTGGTACACATTATTAACAATTTACTGAAGTAAAATATGCTTTGTAAAGACGTGACAAAACCTGTATAATCCCACATGTTAATATGATAAGCACATCTATGCATATATGTAAGTAGAATATGCATGACATAATATTGATGCCATTTAACAAACTTTTTTTTAATTAAGTTATTATAATTAACTTCATAATAGTTATGTTTTTAGTATGTTTAATACTTAAATGTGGGATATTCTGATATTTTGAACACTAATTCTTTGTTCTATTATTTAATTATTTAATGACAGTAGTAAAATAATGTACTTTAATTATATTAAAAATGTTGATCTAAATGTACACAACTGAAGGCTCAAGTGTAGTTAAATGTGTATAGAATGGTTTAGGGATGCGAGCACTATAAGTCATAGTGGCACTTATTGAAATACTGCCAAATTGATGAAGGTCAGTGAACATGTCTTTCCAGGGCTAGACATCTATAGTTTAAAAAACTTGAAAAACTTCAGTTGCACT